AGTAAAACTTGTGTTTCTCTTATGATCTCAATAGTAGACCATGAAATGTTTTATTGTCCTCCCCGATGTGAGTTTGGAGGCATGGGGTATTTATCCTGGCTAAAGCATTAAGTTTATGGAAAGAAGACCCATGGACTGCCTTTCTACCTTGAGACCAAGGCAAGTCCATATGTGGACAGTTGATAAGCCTGCTTAAGATCCTTAGCCTGGTGCTGCTGGTATTCAACTAGTAGTGGGCAGGGCACTTGACACAAAGAGAGCCCAAAAGGCAATCTCAGACACCATGAGCCTCCTTATTGTAAGGCACTTAGTGCCTGATTAAGGCTAGCTTCAAGAAGGAAAGACTCGTACTGACAGTCATCCTCTTGCATGTTCTTCTCATATGACTGCTTAAGTATCTTTTCCGTCTCTCCTGCTACCTTCAGGAACCTGTGGATATGCGCTCCCAATGTGAGCAAAATAATGTTTTTGGGGGAAAAAAAAGCTTTAAATTTGTTAGTAAAGAAAACATTGAATTGTCTAAGAGCAATTTGAATTGTCATATAAAGCTTAACATTTAGCAGATATACATTGAACAAAATTTCCATTATTTTGGTTAAAAGAAAGCTTTCCTTAATTTAGAGAGGCATGTGAAAGAGGTTTTCTTTTGCAATTTGGCTCCTTTTCAAAAATTAGTAGTTCACAATTTGTTAAATATGTACTGCAAGTTTCATATTAACAGGGAAATTTGCATTTTGATAACTCTCTCTTGGTATTTGAATGTAAAACCTGATTAATCATTTTCTGCTATATAATGTAATCAGCAACATTTACCTCAAGGGCAAGTAATCTGCTGAAAGTACCTGTTTCTTTCTCAACAATTTTGCTCCTTGATATTCACATTCATAAGTTTTGGCATTGGTGAAAATTCATTTGATGTAAATCCCCTGAATGATGTGTTGATTGGCAAATCATTTGGGAAAGTAGGCAAGAGTGGAAGACATTAGATTCTTGATATCTAATTCTCTAACCAAGACTCGAATGGTAAGATGACAATCTCTGCAATGAGCAGACAATGGTCTATTTGCATCCATTTACATGTATTAACATTATTATTATTTAATCTCACTTTACTAATATGTAGTTTCCTATTCTCCCACTTGCCAGATAGAATCTAGATGGCAACAATTCCTGATGTGAAAGGCAGAGCAGGTACCTGGTGACTCCAGCTCATCACATATTCCTCCGGGTGTCCATCTTGGACAACAGTGACCAATATCTCAGTGCACACTCCATGGGAAGTGACCATTCAGGTCCCCTCTCCCTATATGCAAACCAAACATTCTACAGCTTCATGGCACACCTCTGAACCACTTATATCACAATTATACCTTCAATTCTGCACTTTGAAGTGTTTTGCACTCTGGGATGACCAGGGCACTTTTCTGGGCTCCCTGCTTGTTTCCTTAGCACTCACTTACTTTGTGCCTACTTGGATGTTCTGTCTTGCCTTGGCTTTTTGTGGTTTGCTCTCTCATCCAGAGAAAAATGCTTACAGTTTTTCTGTCTTGCATTTCTGTTTAGCATAGACACAAAGCCAAGCAGTTTATTGTGGCTATCAGCAGTGACTGGTTGAAGGAATAACATCACTGTATGGCACCATGCTACGTCAATCTCAGATCTGTACCACTTGCCAGCAACTTATGCGGCAACTCACTGCATGTGCTTTAGTCAAATGGCTGCGTCTGTGAGTCTAAGGGTAATTAGTGCTCAGTCAGTTCAAGGGAGACAGCCTTCAGTCCGAGTAAGTCATGAGCTGTATCTGATACTAGTCCAGTTGACTGCTTGAGGTATCCAGAGTCAGGGAGTCAAACACCAATGTTTTTTTCTCCATGTGCAAAGACTGCACTGAACTGAACTGCTCTCGTGACTGTGTATGTATACAAGTTTTTTAATTGAATAACGCATATTTTTTAAATTAAAAAAAGTATAGTTCGGGCAGTAGAACAGGTCAGCACAACAGATCCACTACAACTCTGGGAAGTCAGTCAGAGACTGCAAGCGATTGGTCAGGGTCTGGTCACATATCCATCAGAAAAATAGGTGGAGTAAGTGTTTTTGTTTTCATCTGAGCATGCAGGCTCTACGAGTGAGCAATCTGAGGCCCTGCAGGAGTCAGTTACAATAATGAAGCATTTGTACAGTACCTAGTTTGGGACATCTGTAGTTTCGGAATTCTGCATGTGAAATACATGCAGTGAATAACTATGTGGAATACAAATCCTGGTCACAAGCAAAGGCCACAGGTCATTACAAATTGATGGAAATCATCTCTCTGAGGCAGATGTAATCACGGGTGATATTGAGCTGTGGGCCACAATTTACAAAGACGATTCAAGGTGTCATGGGTTGCATAGGGTGCAGAGCTGATTCCCTTTCACATAGAATTTTAAGTATTTGATGGCATGCTTTTATATACAATACTGCCTTTCTTGGGTAAGGTTGGATTGGAGGTAGGGGGAAGAATGATTCAGGAGTCCTAATGCACTTACAATCTCTTATTTGGGTAATGTGGTTTGTGCTGCATACATCAGAATAAGATCCACTATGTCAAAAGTCCACGTAGAGACCTTCATAGGCCTTATGATCGTGATCTTCGACATCATAAAGTGCAACAGCATCTGGCACTAAAAGCCAGATGGGATTTAATTGACACCTGCTTCCAAATGATGAGTTGGGTGAGGCGATCATCCATTGACTGCAAATTTGTAATTGTTGGAAAGGCAAGGCAGCCCTTATTTGTTGTCAGAAGCAAATGCAACATTTTTTTTTTATTCCACGTTTCCTCATGTTCAATAAGTTAATGTTTTCAGCTATTTGTAGGCTCTACAGCATGTGATGCTCCTATATTGAACAATGACAAGATGTTATACTGCGTTTGGTGTTAGGGAAGGAATAGCACTCCTTCAGACAGAGTTCTAACATGATATAGCACTGAAAATGGGTAGCTTCTGTAGTTTTGCTCTGGTATCTGACGTAGAGAGGCAATGCATTAATGAATGTGATATGCTATTTCCAATGAAATATCACTTTGTGTACTCTTAGAAGCTTTTCTTTTCATTTCCTTTCCACTATGTATACTGTGAAAGGCTGTTCCTGGCTGGCAGAGTTGGATTTGGTACACAGCTGGGCTTTAAATATGGCACTGGCAGTCCAAGTCCCAAAAGGTCCTGACAGCAGTGAGTACTTCGACTGCTGGTGAGAGCACAATAGTGTGACAGCAGCACAGTAGGGGTATGGTGCATACATAGTGAGGTGAGCAACGGAAAATTGCACGTGATAATTCAATAGAGGTCACAGAGGGAAATCCTCCATGTCCTCAAAGTTGACACATAGTAGATGTTTCCGAAAATTAAGCCCTTTGTTTCAGTTATCACAATTCTCTGAAAGAGGCACAATTAAAATTGTGCAGTGTAATCATTGTCCCTGGAAATCAGCTTGACACATAACCATGCTAAGAATGAAGGAAGCACACGTAGGTCCTAGAGATTTGTGGGAAGCTATAGGTTCAGGTGCAGGGCTTTGCACAACACCTATTCATATTGTGAAAGCTCTTGCAGTTCAGTGGATTGAATGACATTTTCTCTCAATGGGATCATAGTTCATTAAATCCAGTGCACTTTGCATTCCAGCTGGAGCTTTAAGATTTTATTGTGTACCTAACTGCCTTTCTGCATTTCTAGAAAATGTACTTATTTGGTAGTACAGAATTGACTATTGCTGAAAAAAAAACATTCTGACAAAGTTTTTGTTTTGCACTCATTAGTTGTTTTCACAAGAATATCAATTCAAGGGGAAGAAACAATATTAACACTGCATGCGAGGAGAATGTTGATTTGCTGACAAGCGAACTCTGAGTGGTGAAGGTATTCCCATGAAGAATACACCTATTAATGCTAATTGACAATTAACAGCCAGGCTTTGTTTAAATTTTAATCCAGGGAGGTTCACCCTGATTGGTCAGTGCATTGCCCTGAAAATTGAACCAACAAATGTCTGTCAGCTATTTTGTTAAATTGAAACAGGCGCAGTGCTGCATACGTTCTTTCTGTCTGCAAACGACAAGATATTGTGTATACATATATGTACACACAAGAGAGCCAAAGTCTGACTGACAATTCTAAACTGGATGTCAGTGAAATTCCTTGCACATTCATGATAAATGTCATGGTGTAGGAAAACAAAAGTCCAGGCAGTAGTTAGGAAAACCACCAGAGACCCTGGATCCCACCAACCTGCCGGCATTTGTGTACAATATCATAAAACTGATGATATTAGATCAACTGGTGAGTCTGCATCTCTTCCAAAATTGCATTACCTAATTTTTACTCCATTATTCCCCATCTTAATAAGAAGGATAATTATCCCCCTCCCCGCGTTAAACAAATGCAATGGCAAACTAAAAAACAATAAAATGCCAGTTATCAATAATGAAACTTATTATTAATGAAACTTATAAACAGCAAAATTAACTCAGGACACCTTGTGCTATGTATTTTTGATTTCATAACACTTCAGTAGGAAGGTTACTTCTTAAATAAATTACAGATAGCACAGAACAGGAGATCATAACATTTTCTAGTCAAACTAATTGTATAAGCTGTTACTTTGAAATCAATTACTTTAGGTTCACACTAAATGGATCAATTTAAAATAATCCATTAACATGAGCTTATGCTAGTTAGGGACCAAGTGGGTGAATTTTAAGTTAGTTGTAACTTCAGAGGCAGAGCTGCGGAAACTGTGGAGCACTGATGCATACCGCCATCAACATTCATCTTTCTAGTGCTCTGATTTACAATGAAAAGTATATAATTCCCTTTTTTATGCCTAGATTTTTCTTTCATGCAGGATGTGTTATCATGATAAATGTGTGACTTTAAATTATTTGGCCTATTTTTGTTCATTGACTCCTTGTTGATAGCTGTAGCATATAGCTACTTGAATATGGATTGCAAACGTTTTTCTTTCTCAACAGCTGCTTTATTATTTAAATGCAATCACTGAATGGAAATATAATGTGACAAATTTTAATAGATTACAAATTAACAAAATCACACCAAAAGCATTAGAAAAACAACAGAAATATTTTCAAAATTGGAACTGAGCAGACATTTTGTATTATTATTACTATGGCTACATACTTTTGAAGAACATTTGCAGTTTTTTTTAAAGTAACAAACAAGCAGCTGGTTGAACTTTATGACACTTTGAGTGAAGCCATAACTTTCTTCATGTTGTCTCCTGCCCATTTGTTTGGGTCCCAGGCGAGGAACCAACCTGTAAATGTTGGGGGCTCATACCCCTGTTTCATTATGATGATTGGAGTCCCTTTGTCCCTTCCAGATGGATCTGAATCAATGTAATGTTTTGCTGATAGGGGAAAGAAAACAGATCAATGTCATAGATTGTGCGGTAAACTGTGAATGTTTTATTAATATGCGTTTTCCAAAAAGAAGTATGTACATTGCCTTGAGAATGGACGTTTGTTCACTTTTAGTGCTTTGCAGTGACTGCCTTACTCAGCTCCAATAAATTCATGAAAGAGCCACAAAAATCCCATGAAATTATGTTAACAAATGCAAATCTCTAGAGATATCCTGATCAAAGTCAAACTCGGAGCTTTGATAAACAGACACATGTTCAAAAATATGGAGAACCATAACACTAAATACTGCAACACTAAAGTTCTTCAATCTCCAAAACAAAAGATAATTTGAGTGAAAAGTTGGGAGAGGCAGGAGCATACAAACATGCAATCTAGTAGCAGAAATAGGCCATTCAGCCCCTTGAGATTTCATGGAGATTTATAATGAAAGATCATGGCTGATTGGTTTGTGTTTCGAATTCCACATTACCACCTACCCCAGATCACTTTTGATTCAGTTGCCTAACAAGAAGGTATCTGCTGTTGCCTTAAAAGTATTCAGTGACTCCACCTCCACCACCTTCTGAGGGAAAGTTCCAAATTCTCACAACCATCAGAGAGAAAAATCTCCTCATCTCTATCTTAAAAGGGAGGCCCTTAATATTTAAACAGCGGCCCCGTAGTTCTGGTCTTATCCACAAGAGGAAGTGCCTGTTTGTCACCATTCACTCTTCTAAATTCTAGTGGAAACAAGCCCAGCCTGTCCAATCTCTACCTTCGTTAGAAAACTCACTGACTCCAGAATCAATCTAGTAAACGTCCAATGAAGCACCCCCAAGGCATTTACATCCTTCCTTAAATAAGGAGGCTAAAATTGTACACAATATTTGTGATGTGGTCTCACCTCCATTACCCGATAAAGAATTACATTCTTACTTCTATGTTCAATTTCTCTCATAATGAAGGATAAAATTCCATTAATCTTCTTAATTACACATTGTAGGTCTTTAAAGAGAAAATCTAAACAATTCACTAGAACAGCAAGGTGGGTGATGTCAAAATACTAGATCCATTTAGGAGGTAATTAAAAAAAGGTTTGGTTGGTATTTTGGTAGCTGGGCATCTTGGGGCAAACAAAGTATCTTAACAAAAGAAATAAAGATAAAATAGAATAAACCAAACACAATTACCATGTGGCACTATCACTATGTTAAATGGGATAGACTTCGACAAGAGCTAGCATCTCAAGACTGGGGATCCATGAGGCGCTGTGGGCCATCAACAGCAGCAGACTTGTACTTCAACACAATCTGTAACCTCATGGCCCAGCATATCTCCCACTCAACCAATACCATCAAGCCAGGGGATCAACTCTGGTTCAATAGATAATGCAGGAGGGCATGCCAGGAACAGCACCAGGCATACCTTAAAATGAGCTGTCAACCTGGTGAAGCTAAACAGCAGGACTACTTGCATGCCAAACAGCATTAAGCAGCAAATATACAGCTAAGCGATCCCACAATCAATGGATCAGATCTAAGCTCTGCAGTCCTTCCATGTCCAGTCGTGAATAGTTATGGTCAATTAAACAGATCACTGGAAGAGGAGGCTCAACAAATATCCCCATCCTATCTGATGGAAGAGCCCAGCATATCAGTGCAAAAGATAAGGCTGAAGCATTCACAGCAATCTCCAGCCAGAAGTGCCAAGTGGAAGATCCATCTTGGCCTCCTCCAACAGTCCCCAGCATCACTGACAGCAGTCTTCAGCCAATTCAATTCACCCCAAATGATATCAAGAAATGGTTGGAGGCACTGGATAGTGCAAAGGCTATGGGCCATGACGACATTCCAGCAATAGTACTGAGACTTATGCTCCAGGACTTACTGCTTCCCTAGCCAAGCTCTTCCAGTACAGTTACAACACTGGCATTTATCCAACAATGTAGAAAATTGCCCAGGTATATCCTGTACACAAATAGCAGGTCAAATCCAATCTGGCCAATTACTGCCCATCAGTCTACTCACAATTATCAGTAAATCAATGGAAAGTGTTATCAACACTTCTCAGTACTTCTCAGCAATAACTGCTCAGTGACATCAATATTGGGTTCTGCCAGAGGCCACTCAGCTCCTACCCATATTACAGCTTTGCTTCAAACATGGACAAAAATGCTGAATTCTGGAAATGAGGCGAGAGTGACAGCCCTTCTTCCTGGGCCTATTACATACCTGAATTCAAATATACTTTAAATAACCTCTTCAAGGGTTTATCCCACATTTCTGCTTTGGGACTAACTCTTACCCTTTACAGGTACTTCTCCTATAACACTGTAGTTGAGTTCTGAGGAAGGGTCACTGGACCCGAAATGTTAACTCTGTTTTTTCCTTCACAGATGCTGCCAGACCTGCTGGGCTTTTCCAGCAACTTTGTTTTTGAACACTGTAGTTGTGTTCTTGTGCAACCTCACGCTATAGAAAATTGCACTATAGAAAATCATCATTAAAAAATCACATTATAGGGAAATTGCTATAGAAAATTGCTATACTGTACAGTAGAAAGTTCATGTTATCCAAACAGCGTCCACTATTCATCAATCGTGTTACAGCCAATTCACATTAATGAAACACATATTATAGCCGAACTACCTGTACTTTAAGGTCATCTAGTTACATGAAGCTTATCTTCTCAGGAGTACTGGTCTGTGTAGCCATATTCTCCAAAGGATTTCAATGACTTCTCCAGATTCAAAGTCAAGCCTAAAACCAACCCCACCCCCTCTCTCTCTGAATTATGGGTGTTTCCTTTAAGTTTAAAAAAAGTTCTAGAAATCTCTATCAAACTCTGAGGCCTCATTATTTACCGTGATGGGTCAGAAAATAATCATATGTAGACAAATATCCATTGGTAATGCATGAAAACTCATTAATTCAAGCTAGGCCTCTAATATGTTTCTTTAAAAAAAATAACCGCGGCTGCAGAAATACTCACAATTATTAACTTCTGACGATCAGAAAATCTACATGTTACTAAACCAAACCAAAATTCTCAATAAATGATATTAAATATATATAAATATTACATCACGCCATCTAACAAAAGACCTCCTGGGACATCCAGTGATCAGACATATTGACGTAGCTTATTTTCTGCCTGTAGACCATATGTGTGCCAAGCATGGCCTCCTGCAAGCTGTATCTTTCTGCCCATCCCCTCTATCTTATGATATTATAGGTCTTTGTGCAGTGGGCTGTTGCTATTCCAGTAGCTGCTACTTCTGTTATTGCTGTTCCTCTTAGTCCTTATTTGAGGTCCAAAGCAATATAGCATAAGTGGGACACAAGCTCTGATAGATCAGAGCTTCAAAGTGTAGACAATCCTCCAAAGTGTAGGTGTTTAAAGTCACCTGTTAACACAAATATTGTTAACAAAGCTGTTCACACAAGCTAACAAGCCAACAGCTGTGAGGTGCCAGTATTTGTTATTGTATTTCTCTGTCATGTCTTCAATATCCTCAATTCCCGCTGTATTCTTGCCTGGCTTTCACTGGGAAATGCCAAGCAATTTGGGACACCCATAGATAGTAAATTGCAAAAAATAAAGTTAATATCGCTGTAATTGAGAGATTAACACATTGAAGTTGACAACCCACTTTTCCAGAGGATTTTACATATAATCAGCCTAATGCACTGAAGTTCAGTGAGGAAGTTGGTGGGTTGGAATCCTAATGGGGACATTTTTCAAGGACTTAATTCCCTACCAAGCCCAAACCTACAAGTTCATCTATGTTAAAGTTCCTCTCAGGAATTTTACACTGTCATTTTTACAGACTGAGCGAAGAGGATTTAAAGTGGTTCTTAAACAATAAATCTGAATTTTATGTTGCTATTTTGATTGGTTACGGTTGTTGCAAAAGGTTGCTAAAGAGCCGAGGGCTCCTAATTGTAAAAATGATACAGCTGTGCACAATGTGCCTTCTTATAGTTCACTGTTACTCTGATGAAATAATAACAGATCACACACAGGAAATGACACCGAAAGGATGTAATCATAAATTTCAGATTTATGCTTCTGTAACACCATAAACACTACATTTGAAGGGAAATGAATTACTTTTATCTTTTAATTTTTAAACATCAAACAAAGTAATTGTAAGTGTGTCACCATTTCACATAAAATTACAGTTGCTAATTTAAGATAACTAAAAACAGGTGCAGAATCAAAAATTAAATCGGTAGATGCTACAGTAGGAGAAACAGCCACAGCAAACACTGCTGTTCCATTTGGAGGAATCGCTTGCATCTCTATAGGAATTGATTGGAACAGACAAATTTCATTAGGAAATGGTGTATTAATATTGCACACAGCAGTATAAATGGCATTGTTAAATATGTTTGTGATATTGAAACTGAATGACAGTGCCAAAGTAGACTTTTACCAGTTTACATTTATGCCAAGTTGTCTGATGCTATTCATCAAGGCTGAAAAGGAACATTTTTAAAGTGAATATTTGTGAGCTCCCCATGGCTTCACTGGTAAACCAACACGAAAGTGGATGATCACAGTTCAATCCCTGGCCTGTCCTGATTTGGCTGAACTCAGCTGGGATAGCAGTCATAGCCTCAGGATAATGTCCAATTCTTGTGAAATTGTATCCAAGCGCAAGCCTGGACCTTTAGGAAGCATTTAGACAAAAACTGAAAGACAGATCAGGGTGAAAGGAATTAGGGGAATGACAAGGTTTACATTCTCTGGGTCAGGTGAACCCTTTTCTATTGATTACTCCGACAGTAGCTGTGCAAAAGTGATTCTGCTTTAATCCCTACCTTTCGAAAATCATAACGTGAGACATAAGGATAATTCACACTTACCTGATTTCACTGATTCAGTTTTCTCCACTTCATTGGCATCATTCCCAATCCAGACAAACACCTAAATATTAACAGATAATTGCTTTATGAACCTCAGATCATGACTGTAAATATTTTATCCATTGCTTTCATTGTTTCAAAATTATTTGAGTAGGTACTTTGTATGTTGGCAGCTATATATAAGACATCTGCTCTAACATCTCTTCATAAGCTGTTCGCCAGACAATTAGAATTATGGATTAGGTATGATTACATTATATAAAATTACACAGAAATGCATTTACCAGATGCCATTTAAAAATAATTGTTTTTGATTTTTTTAACTTGAATTAGATCTGTATCTCTGTATGGACTGAATGCCATTTGAAAGGCACGTCTTTCGAATACGTGTCAATGTTACAAAGAAAAACAACATGAGGAAAATAATGGAAAATGCCCAAAACTAAGCACGGTGATCACGAGCATGATTAACACATTCTTGTTCATTGTGATACAGGTTGCATGAAATTTGCTCTGCCTGCTAATTTAAATGACAGTAGAATGCAGCCTGATTCTCAACATGCTGCTGCATGTTTAACAGGAAAAAGTCCTAAGTTCATATAAGGTGGGACCACTTAAAGTCAGACACTACCTCGTAAACATCGCAGCAAGTGGTGGGAGTGGTTGGGGAAAAGAATCTCTAATCTGCAAGAAGAGTATAACACAAAAAGGCTAAGCAAACACTCCAAGACTCTCAATGCAATGTTCGTGATTTGGTGCAGGAGGTTGTCAGGAGGTGGAGAGCTCCCTTAATCAAAGGGGACCAGGAGACCCTCTAGTCAAACACTGAGAAAGTAACAGGAGCAGGTAGCTAGAAAAGTGGCTTTCCTGCCAGTGATTAATGCCAGAATTGCAGCTTTAAGGATCTCAGTACAGTATTTCATGTAGTACACAAAACGATCGAGGTCGTTGAATGTGGTTTCAAATGGTAAATCCCATCAAATGCACTATCGCCTAAAGTACTGCTCCATTCAAGTCCCGGCAAACCTCCATTATTGCGCACTGCCAGCTATTTGACCATGTCAGCCATATCATCTCAACACACTGCACCACACTCACTCACAGACTTCCCTTTCTCTTACAGGACAATGTAATGCAGCACCTAATTAACAGTTGATCTGAGAGAAGTGATTATGCTGGCCATTGGCAGGCCTGAAACCAGACTTTGGTGGTATTTTCATACCTAGTCATCATTCTGACATTGAATATCCTCTTCATATTACAATCTCTTCAGTACAAACTGAAAATGTTGTTAGTAGCATGTCCTGCTTTCTCCTTTCCCTTCCCTCAGTCCTACGTTTGTGCTCTTTTTCTTTCAGACATTGAAAAACTATTACACTTCCTGGATATGGTAGGGAAGCACAGAGTCCAAAAGGAACAACAAACAGATGCTAAAAAAGAACATCATAACTTGATCTCATACTTGCAGTCACTAGCGATGTTGCAGTGTGCAACATACAGAGTGGCATAGAGATGGGATCTGTCTGTGGTGAGTCACTGGACGTGAGTGGCCTGCAGCTAGCACAGAGAAAATGAGTAATATGGGTGCCAGCTCTCCTGAAGATATGAACACACACAGGTCCTGCTGCAGAGGGGTCTGATGGGTAGCATATATGAAGAAGTTGATGGACATACAAAATGAAATACTAGATACATCGACCAGCCTGTTGTAAAGCTTGCTGTCATTGTTAAAGAGCAATTTGGCACAGGGTTTTGCCCAGAGCTTGGAGCCCATCCTTTCTAGCAATTAAGTGGATGAAAATTCCATGAAAAAATATGCAAACCCAAACATGATACAGACTGATGACTGATGTCTCAGGTTCCAACCGAATGTGGGGAGAGTTTCTGAGAATTTCCCAAAATCTTAGTGTTGTTGTTGAAGCTGAGACAGAGACTGTGCAACATCAGCTTGGTGCCATAAGTTATAAAGCAGAGGTTGACCCTCCTCCCAGAACATTAACTGGGACTCTGGATTAATAGTCTAGTGATAATACCAGAAGACCATTGCCTACCCTACCTTCGGACTTATCAACTTTTCCTTAATTGATTTTAAAGGTCCTCTTACTTCATGTCCGAATATCAATTCAAATGGAGTAAACTGAGTCGATTCATTTGGAGCATCTCTAATAAGTGGGATTCCTTTATCCCAATCATTTGTGTAATCCTGGCAATAAGCCCTCAACATTGTCTCTAAGGTCTGATGCCACCTTTCCAATGTTCACTGGGATTCAGGATGGTATGCACTTGATTTAAAGTGTTGGATACCTAAACTGCCCATGACCTCTTTAAATAATTTGGTTGTAAAACTGGACCATTGGCCTGACTGAATCTCCCTGGGTAGTCCATAATGGTAAAGAAAGCAAGCAACTCCTCCACCACCTTTTTTGATGTACATTCCGTAAATACCTCCAGAAACCTGGTAGACAGATCCATTATGGTTAGCAACTACTGGTTCCTATTTTTGGTTTTAGGAAAGGGACCTACACACTCAATCACAACCCTCATAAATAGTTCTTCAAATGTGGGAATTTGAACAAAGGCGCTAGTTTTATTACTGCCTATGGCTTTCCTACCATCTGACAAGTATGGCGGTTACGGCAAAATTTGACCACATCTTTATGTAATCCAGGCCAATAGAAATGCTTCTATATCTTAGCCTGAGTCTTCCTCATTCCTAGATGACCTCCTACAGGTAATTCATCTGCTCCCCAGAATGTTTCCTGTCTGTATTCTACTGGCAACACAATCTGGTGAACTTCCGCCCAGTTCTAATCTGCACTAACCCCCTGCCAAGGTTTCCATTTCCACCTTAAGATTTTATGCTTAAGGTAATAACATTCTCGAATGCATTCTGATTCCTATTCCAAGTAGGCTTTATGCTACAAATCCTTTATCATTTCATCTTTTTGTTGTAACTCCATTAATCTTTCAGAACTAAATACCTCTGTCTGATCCTCTACCTGCTTAGGTTTTTCCTTTACCATTTCATCAAACAGGGCGTCAGCTAACTGATCCTCAACTCCATCATCTTTCTCTTTTGTTTTCCCTTCTTGTTTTAACTTATGGCTGTGGGATCTTGTCACCACACAGTCTGGAAAAAATCCAGGGTATTTTCCTTTAAACACCTCAGTTCCCTGGTTTTCTTTTGGCTTTTCCATACAATGGGCATCACTCCCAACTGTGATCCAGCGAAATTGTTTCTAAGAACAAACCGTATTCCTGGAATAGCCAAATTTCCAATCATTCCCACGATCACTTCCCCAGTCTTGATTGGACTTCTAGCCTTATCTTATATAGGGGAACATTCATTCTCCCTCCACTTATTTCAAAGATTATCACTTTCTTGGGCAATATTTCAGAAGGAGTGCAAATACTTTCATCTCTTACTATTAGAGACTGACTATCTCAAATATCTGTCAATATTTTAACTTCTTTACCTACCCCTCCGTTCTACCTGAATAAACCTTATCCACACAGGTGAAATCTTTGAAAAGATCGAGTGCTATCTTATTATCCAATCTGTGACTAGGTTGTGCACTCTCCTGCAGCTACTGGACTTCTCCTGGAATTTCCTTCACTACCTCAACTAATCCCACTTGTTTAGCCTCTTTTACCACATCATCTTTCCCAATGTCTTTCTTAAACCACCAACACAGTGGACTTAGAGATAGTAAGAACTGCTGATGCTGGAGTCAGAGATAACACAGTGTAGAGCTGGAGGGACACAGCAGGCCAGGCAGCATCAGAGGAGCAGGAAAGCTGATGTTTCAATCCCTCCTCTCTCTACTTATTTCTGAGCTGCCTTTCCCCTCCCCATTTCTGAAGAAGGGTCCCGACCCGAAACGTCAGCTTTCCTGCTCCTCTGATGCTGCCTGGCCTGCTGTG